TAAACTTAAATAATCTTTTGAGTATTAATTTCTTAAAAAACAAGAAATATAAGACGTCTAGAGATAAACGTATTTAACAAACAATTAAATTTCAAATAATTTTACCAACTTACTAAATTAGAGTAACTTCCAAGACACTCTGTTAAAAATAATTAAAAGACATAAAATAAATTATTATAAATAAATATCATTACTAGCACAACAATGGCTAAAATATTGAATAAAACATAATACAGTAGCACAAAGTTGCTTATCTGGACATAAAAAAAAGTTTTGTTACCATTAAACCAAATTATTTTTACCTTGTATTTTGTAGAGTTCTAGATTTTCCCTGTTGGCTTATGATTAATATAGCAAATTTCAAATCATAAAAATTTACTAAATTAAAACCATGTTTCAACAGTACGCCAGCTGAAATAAAAAAATGGTAGGTAAAAATAAGAATATTTCTTTCAATACAAAAGAAATATAATATCCTTTAAACTTAAAACTATTATAAAAAATAATTATAAAAAAACTTTATGTTCAAGATGTGAGAAAATGAGCAAAAATATTTTTTTTTATTGTTGCAAGATATAAATCAAAAAACTTTTTTTTTTTATAAACTTGTAAAATAATTAAAAAAGATTAAAGAATTTCAGAAATATATATATTATCAACAAAAATCAGTTTCCTTCTTTCATTTGGATGCATCAAAAAGAAAATAGATCTTCTTTCTATCACAAAAGCATCTATAAAATAAATTTGTTTTTTTTTTAATTTTTTGACAGTATCATACATATGCAAATAGTCATTTAAAAAATCATAAATGTAATAATATATCCTACCCTAAAATTATCCCAAAGCACAATGACAGGTATCATCACAAAGAAATGATAAAGCGCATCTTTTAAGCCCATTTAATATGGTTATATAAAGAAACATTTCAAGTTTACCTTTTTCAATACACATTAGAAAATGTTTTCTCATACTTTTTTTTTCCCAGACAATTAAACTTGCATCAATTCCATTACATAGAGCTGTAGCATTTGCAACAGCATAAAGACCACAGTCATTGCCATTATCTTGGGTCTGGCAGTTCATAACATCAAAACTTATAGAGCTAACATCTTCACAAATCAATAATGATTGAGCAACACAATGCACAAGTAATGTAACATCTTCTTTTGAACTGGTAAAAAGAGAATCATAATATTGAACTGATGATTTTAAACATGTATCAGATGACACATTACTCATCAGTATCCAATGTGAATTTCTGACATCGAGTATTTGAATAAATTTTCCTGAAGGGATGTAACCCCCTGAATTATTTTTATTAAAAATACACGAACTTTGAAATCCGGTAATATGAGGAAACTGAGATGATAGGAAGCTTTGGGCTATATCTATTAATGTATCATTTAACCAACCACATGGATTTTTTAAAATATCGAGGCCTAATTTAACTGACTGTGTTGATAAGTTTAAAAAAAATTTATTGTTAACAGAAATTGCAGGGTATACATTTTTCGATAAAGAATTTTCCACTTTAGTCAATTTATTTTTTTATCTTTAACATAGCATTTTGAGTCAACTATATGTCTCTTGTTTGATTTTATAGGTTCTATTATATTTTTGTTATTTCTTGCCATTTTAATTTTCCTTGGAAGACAATAATTGTGTTCATTTAATATTATTGCTGATGATAAAGTCTGATTTTTTTCTATATATGGCTTCATGTTTATTAAAGCAACAGCATTCCTCCAAACTTTTCCATTACGAGTTACAACAGCACCATTTTGTTTAAAGCTTGTGATTGTAGCAGGTCCAAGCCAATCGTGCTCCATTCGGCTCCCTTTACGACCAATTTTTTGGCAGTTTTTTAATAAAACTTTATCACCTATTTTAAATGAAAATGATTTACAACCCTTCATCTGTTTAGCGGCATAATACTTTTTCATTTTGTTTGAGCATATAAAATATTAGAATTTACCACAATGCTGACTTTATTACATGAACCAATTCTTTCTTGAATTTGACTTTCAGTTGAATGAATATCATTATTACCATCAATAAAGTTTGAATTGGTTGGATTCATTGCTAAAGCTGAAAATAATTGTGGTTCTCTGCCGAACATTAGAAAAAATGGTGAAAACCTAGTTGAATTTTGAACACATGTGCGAAGACCAAATAATACTGGTTCTAACAACTGGTTCTTTCATCTTGCCCATTTGTTTGTGGGTGATAAGAAGATGTTATAAGGTGTTTGACATTAAATAAAGAAAATAAAAGCTCATTTACACTGTTTACGAACTCCCTGCCTTGATCGGAAAGAATTTTTTTTGGAGGACCAAACCGATAAAATAAAGTGGTGAGACACTTAGATACACACAAAGCAGATTTCTCAGGAATAGGGAAAGCTTCAACGTATTTACTCCAGAGGTCTGTCACTGTTAAAATATATTTTTGCCCTTTTGATGTAATAGGCCAATTAGATCAATACCTAAAAAATCCCATAGACCATTTACCCTAATAGGTTTTAATTCAGACGCAACAGTTTTAATTTTTTCCATTCGTTGGCATTTGTCGCATTCCTTGATCCATTCGGTATTATTTCTAACCATACCTTAAAAACAAAGAAATTTAATATATAACAGTATCATAAGCAAATGAATTAGCATTTTTTATTTCAAATTTATTTAACAAACTTTAGTTTTAAAAATCTATATTTAAGTAAAAAAATAACCTAGCCAGTAAAAAGAACTTTTTAGTTTAGCTCTAGTATTGTTGAGACCAACATGTGCCCCATGATCAGAATCATGGACATCTCTGAAAGCCAACTTTTTTTCATGATCTGTTAAAAGAACTAGGAGCTTCTTAGATGATTTTATGTAGTACAATTTACCATCTAAGAAAAATTATATATATATATGTATATATATATATATATATATATATATATATATATATATATATATATATATATATATATATATATATATATATATATATATATATATATAAATTTGAATAAAATTAACAACAATTTTAAAATGTTTGTTATAAATGTTTTGAACTAGATAGTCCATCGTAGTAGTTTGACACATGTATAGCAAACATTTTAAAAGTGTTGTTAATTTTATTCAAATATTTATTTTAATTGTGCTTAACAGATCATTTGGCAATATATATATATATATATATATATATATATATATATATATATATATATATATATATATATATATATATATATATATATATATATATATATATTAATTTATAAAAATAAAGAAAACAACTTTTTTATGGTACTAATAGTTTCATGCCTAAAGGCAATCATCAGCCATGTAATACAAAACAAGAAACAAAAAAAACCGTTAAAATATAAAGTTACAGTGGAGTGTGCTCCGTCGTCAAAACAAAACAAAAACAAAAAACTAAAAACGGCTGCCTAATCACCCGTATCGAAATTCGAAAGGAGAATATATATATATATATATATATATATATATATATATATATATATATATATATATATATATATATATATATATATATAATATATATATATATATATATATATATATATATATATATATATATATATATATATATATACATATATATATATATATATATATATATATATATATATATATATATATATATATATATATATATATATATATATATATATATATATATATATATATATATATATATTAAATATTACCATTTAAATTTTATTATGTCATTTATAAATAAACACATACCACAAAGTTTAAAGTTTTTTGCATATTTTAAGAAAGCTATACGCCGTGAGTTAAAAAACTAAATTATTCCATCAGAAAGATACTGTTTCACATCATTAACTGAGTAAAATTGAACAGCCATTTTTAGTATAACATGAGTTTATATTTAAAATTTTACATACCCTAATGGAAGGATGAAACTTTTTTAACGCTGAATTTCACTCCCTAACGGAAACTTTTTATCAAAACTGCGCAAGCGTAACGCATGCGTATAACAGTTTGTAAACTTTTTTAACGACTAACTTTTTTAACGCAACACCGGCAATGGATAGCTAATTCTGCTATCCATTAAATATGGATTAGCTATGGCTAATATAATATGGCTAATATAATGGCTAATATAATATGGCTAATAAATAATATAATAATAATATGGCTAATATAATATAATAGCTAATATAATATGGATAGCTAATTCTGCTATCCATTAAATATGGATTTTTTTGGATAGCTAATTAGCTATCCATTAAAAAACTTAATTATTCCATCAGAAAGATACTGTTTCACATCATCAACTGAGTAAAATTGAACAGCCATTTTTAGTATAACATGAGTTTATATTTAAAATTTTACATACCCTAATGGAAGGATGAAACTTTTTTAACGCTGAATTTCACTCCCTAACGGAAACTTTTTATCAAAAAAAAGTTTCCGTTAGGGAAACTGCGCAAGCGTAACGCATGCAATTTTCATTATATCACATCCTGTATATTTATGGTCCGGCAATGGATAGCTAATTCTGGCCAGAATTAGCTATCAGCTATTAGCTTTATAGAAATTTTTATGGTATATTATAAACACCTTAAAGTATACATTAAAAAGTATACATGAAATACAAAATAATACCTTAAGATATTACGATGCTCATTAAAAATAATTTTAAGTTAATAAATGTATACTTAAGTCAACAAATAATAATTAAGACTTAGTGAAATTGTTTTACTCAACGCCAAAATGTTTTAAATGTAGATGCAAATTTTACAGAGAGAAAAATATATTTATGTTTTCATTCAAGTATATAGCTATATTTTATATCATCTCATCATCATTGTCACCATCCCCACATTTATTTTTCTTTATTCTATATATTTATTCAACCTTAATTATATTTCTTTATTTTTAATTTGGCGTTGAGTAAAACAATTTCACTAAGTCTTAATTATTATTTGTTGACTTAAGTATACATTTATTAACTCAGTTAATGTTTAGCCTTAAAATTATTTTTACTGAGCATCGTAATATCTTAAGGTATTATTTTGTATTTCATGTATACTTTTTAATGTATACTTTAAGGTGTTTATAATATACCATAAAAATTTCTATAAACTGTATTTTAACATTAGACTTATGTGTTTAGAGTACAAATGTAATCTAATGAAAAAAATGATAGTGACTCACAAGATTTTAAAGAACATCAAGAATTAAAAAAGTCTTGTCTGCAGATACGTGTCTCTGTATTAAACAAAAGTAAAACAAGATTGAAAAAAGTGATCATAATTACCTCTGTGATTAAGGTATTTTGACTACTAATTTGTATCCTATTGCAAAACATTTTATGAATTATAACTTAAGTTATTAAAAAATAAATGAACTAAATTGTTTTACTAGTGGTAGCAATTTTTTTCAAGATGAAGAGAGAAGCAACAAAAAAGAAAGTAGCAAAGAAAGTCTTGTCTACAGACACCTGTTTCTGTATTTAATAAAAGTAGAATAAGATTGGAAAAAGTGATCATAATTACCTCTGTGATTAAGGTATTTTGACTACTAATTTGTAGCCTATTGCAAAACATTTTATGAATTATAACTAATGCTAATAAAAAAAATGAGCTAAATTGTAATACTAGTGGTATCAATTTTTTTTAAGGTGAAGGGAGTAGCAGCAAAAAAGGAAGTAGCAAAAAAATTGAATTGGACAGGGCAAGGTGATCTTCAAAAAACGCCTTTCCGAATTCTTAAATTTCGTCAAGTTAATGAAAGTAAGTTAATAAATATAATAATAAGTAAATATAAAAAAAAAATTGTCTTTCATTGTTTTTTTCACTTTATTAATATTTATTAAATTTTTATTTGTGTGTTTCTATGTGTGTGCGTGTGTGTTTATATATATTTGTATATATATAAATATATATATATATATATATATATATATACATACATACATACATACATACATACATACACACATACGTACATACATGCATACATACATACATACATACATACATACATACTTGCTTACCAGTTTGTAAAAGTGAATGGAAAAAATTACCCTAAGAGTTGAGATATAAACAAAAGCCTGGATATTATTGGCTGCAATTATATAGGAAGCGATACCAAAACTAATTGTTTTTAATGAAGCCTAAAGTTAATAACAGCTTATAACAAACATACTGTGAGTTTAACATGCGACAATTTTAAGAAAACCCTTTCTAAATGTCCATCTGAAATAAAAGCAATTATTATCTGAAATTAACACAAAACTGGATTGTCCCTGTCAATGTTCTCTCAAAGATGTAAGCACCTCTTGGCACGAAGCAAGTTGGGTCAATGACTAGCGCTGAAAGAGGAACGACGGTTACAATGATAGCGGCTATTTCCAATCAGCAGTATATTAATGGGCCAGAGCTACATACATACATACATACATACATACATACATACATACATACATACATACATACATACATACATACATACATATATACATACCCACATTAGGCCATGTGAATCTTCAAATTTCTAATTGAATCGGAAAGTGATTTGAGTTTCAAAAAAAAAAAAAAAATTCAAGTTATTGAATATTTACTTATTTTCTTTTCGTTGTAGTATTTTTGAATAACTGGGCACTTTTGTACTTTCAAAAAATAGTTTCTTTATTCTTACCAATTGTTAAAAATTGTTATCAATTGTTAAAAATTGTTACCATTTGTTAGCAATTGTTTCCAATTATTAAAAATTGTTATCAATTGTTAAAAATTGTTACCAATTCTTAATAATTGTTACCAGTTCTTAAAAATTGTTACCAATTCTTAAAAATTGTTACCAATTCTTAAAACTTGTTACCAATTCTTAATAATTGTTACCAATTCTTAAAAATTGTTACTAATTGTTAAAAATTGTGACCATTTGTTAACAATTGTTTCCAATTGTTAAAAATTGTTATCAATTGTTAAAAATTGTTACCAATTCTTAATAATTGTTACCAGTTCTTAAAAATTGTTACCAATTCTTAAAAATTGTTACCAATTTATAAAACTTGTTACCAATTCTTAAAAATTGTTACCAATTCTTAAAAATTGTTACCAATTCTTAAAAATTGTTACTAATTGTTGAAAACTGTTACCAATTGTTTAAAACTACATGAAGCACCAAAAAAGAGTTTTTACTATTATTTTTTTTCTTTTAAAATATATTATATAAAGAAATATTTTAACTCATATTCCTTAAATTGCTGATTTAATTCTTGATTCGATTTTCAAATCAAAACCTGCTCGATTTGAGAAACAAAAAAAAGTTGTGTTTTTAAAAGGAATTGCCTTTATAAACTAAATTGGGAATTAAAAAATAATTAAAAAGGTTTAGAAGGGGGTAAAAATACCTGACAAACTAACTATAAATATCTATTTAATTTTAAAGAAAATATATTGTTAGTTGAACTCTAAATTTTTAGTTATAGGCATTAAAAACTTCTGTCAGGGAAGGAACGATAGGTTCCTTCCGTGACACAAGTTTTCATGGCTATAACAAAAAAGTTATTATTCCACTTGCAATATGTTTACCTGAAATTAAATAATTCTTTATAGGTAGCACAATAAGTATTATTGCCTCCTTCTAAACGTTTTTATTTTTGTTTGAATTTCCGATTTAGTTTATAAAGGTCATTCCTTTTGAAAAAAAGACTTTTTAATCCTGACCATATGTATATGTATATATATATACCCAGCCAACATTGACAGACGGGTACCGTATGGTTTTTGTCTGGGCTTACGGGAACGGGATTTTGACGGGTAAGTGTTTGGGTTTCCAGACGGGTCCCATATGGGAATAAAATCAAGCATATTTGCTCGATAGGGTTTTATCTGGTTTTTATCAGGGCCGAATAACCTGGGGATTTGATGGGTTTCCCATAAGGTTCCCAAAAGGTTTAAAAAAAATCATAAAAAAACTTACTCGATGGTTGTCGTTTTTAATTCGTATTGTGCGTGAAATAAGATTAAAAATTTAACTTTTATGCATTACATTTTTTGAATACATTATATTTACATTGTAATTAAAAAGAATTATTTTTTGATGTGTTTTGTCACTGTAAAACTCAGTTAAAAAGACGTTGTTTTAAAATTTCATTTATTTATTATCATTATAAAAGAATTTTTTTGTATACATATTTTTACATGTATACTATTTTTTAAATGAGTTCACAAAGTTCAACATATTTGTTGAACATATGTTCCAGAAACTATTAAACATGTAGTAAATGTTCCATTGAGACACTGTTCGCATTTTTAAAATGATCAAAATATAAATTTTGTTTCTGCTAGTCACTAGCAGAAACAAACTTTATATTTTGCATCAACCTCATTTTTTAATCATTGATATTTTTTGATTTTGATTTAAAATTGTACACTTGCAATATAAACAATAATCTCATAATATACATAATAATAACTTATACTTACAATACCTATACTTGTAAATACTTGTAATATAATAATTATGTTTATAATACTGATAAAAATTTTTATTGATATAAACTTTTGCATTCAAACTTTAGTTATTAAATTAAAACTTTAATTAAACTTAATAACTTTTACATAAATAACAATAACTAAAAAAAGATGTTAGTTATTATATAGATTATAGCCATATGCTTATTTATTATAATTGAGTTACAGTAAGTTAAACAATATAAAATATTAAGTTCCAGGCAATAGGTCTTATATGATATGTATCTTATGTATATCTTGTATTTTGCAGCATGTTAAAGAATATTTCTGCATGGTGCACTCTGACTGTTGACAATGTTTGCATATTGATATGAGTAAAAGTGTCTTCAACAACCAGAATGTGTTTTTGATAAATATTAATAATAACAGGTTAGTAAATATAATTATAGTAATAATGACAATAACTTTTTATTAATAGAATTAGTGAGAGACTTATGTATAATAGAGCTACATTAACTTTGGGGGACAAATAAAATAACTTGAGTAAATATTACCGTTGTTTATAACCTCAATTAGAGTAATGTAAGTAAATATTATTTTTATCTAAAGAATATTCGGCAAAAGTCAGTATTTCCTAAGTATTAAATATTATAAAAAAACATGCGTTTAAAAAAAAAATTTTTAATGTATCATAAAATAAAAAAATAAGTATTTGAGTATTAAAAAAAAAACACATTTGTTATTATAATGTATCTACATTGCATTAACTATGTTGTCTATAAAGTAGGGGTTGCAGCTAATATTTCAGCTTCAGCTATAAGCTTCAGATTAATGCTGAAGCTGATCAAGTCAGTTTAATCATCTTGATAGCTGATAGTAAAAGAGAATAATACTCCATAAATATTTTATATAAAATATATTTTTATATAGGAATTTATTCAATAAAAATCTAAAATAGTGACAAAATTTAAACATAGATTTAAATTTTAAATAAAATTTGCCAAAAGTTGTTGCTATTTATAAATGTTGCCATCAGAGCCTAGGCCTAGGACTTACAATATTAGGGGACCCAAATTATGTTTTTAGAAATTTGTTTAAAAAGTGGTGCCCAAAAATCTAATTCCATTTTTAATTATCTTAAGGGGACCAACTATCTTTTGTTCAAAAAGAGTACACTTTGCAAGTATTTCATAGGTAAAAAAAAAAGGTAGATAAAACGATAAAAAACTATTTATTTTTTTAAATATTTTTATCACAGTGGATTTTTTTTTGCAAGATGAGGATGTTCGTCTAATAATGTAGCTGCATCCGAACATATTAAATTTCATATTAAATTTGACTGTTAAGACGGCATATAATGTTTTTACAGAAAGTTGCAACTTCTCACTGCTCCAATAATCATTCCTTAGTGAATATACCTTTTCAACAGCAGCATTAGTGCCTGGACAACATAAAGAAATTTCTGTTAAAACTTTTAAATTTTCATGTGGGATATGTTCTACTCTAAAATGCCGAAAGATTTCTACCCATCTTTTTTCAAGTTCTATTTTCTCATTGTTCCATTTCTTTAATTTTTCTTCATTTAAAAATAAATTTACTCTTCCGATTTCTTCAAAAAGAAAATTGTCATTAATAACAATATCTTTTACTTCCTTTATTACAAATCGACTGCTGAAGAAACTTTTTTCCATTAAATTTTACTATTTATTAGGGTCCATTTAAAACAATTCAATGCTCTAAAGTTCATTATCCATTCTTAGCAAATTTTATAAAAATTTTTAACTTCTTTTAAAATTTTTTTTTTTTTCCGGGATTAGAATCTTCCAAAGCGGTCAGTTTATAGGCTTTAATATAGCCTTTAATATTGTATATAGTAGTGTATGTATATATTTTTTTATTTAAATTTGCCTTTAATTTGTTTTTTTATATTTTTCTGCAAAAAAATTTTTCTGTCACTTTATCCTTCTGAACTTATGTAATTAAGTTTTTGTTTTCTCTTACATATTTTCTCACTCATCTTATCTCATCCATTCATTTTCTCTTTTTTCAGTTTTCTTAGCATTACTCTTTTATATTTTTGTGTTAATTCCAACTTATTTAAATAGTATTGTTCTTTATACTTCTTTTTTTATTACATGTATTAATGTAGTTTTCTTTCTTTCTTATTATTTTTTATTTTATTTGTTTATTTTATGAAGGTTTTGCTCCATTGACTTGTTTTTAATATGAGTGACACCGAACATAAATTTGTAAGTTATAATTAAGTTTGTAATTTTTGATTTTATGGTTAATTAACCATAAGCGCATGCATAGTATGTACAGTATGGTTTTTTTTATCCTTTTATTTAATTAAATAAATGGATAAAAAACTTTGCTGTACATACTACGCATGCCTCAAGACTGTCAAGCATGGCGTACATACTGCACATCAAAGATCAGCCTGGGGATTACATATGCAAATGTTGGGTCCATCTCTTTTCACAAATGTAATTTTGACATTGTTAGAAAAAGAGGTCTGTAGTATCTATCTATCTCTCCAGGTTTATAATACGGCCTCTCAATTGTGTTGAAAATGGCAGCCATATGTGCGTTCAAAATTTAAATCACTGTCAAACTTGTATCTGGTGTTTGCCCTGTCCTCTGACGTGCTGGAAACGGCTAGCAATATGTGCGCATGAAATTCAAATCACTGTCAAAATAATTTTAAATATTTAATAAAGTTGAAATGAAATAATATAAAAAAAAAATGTTTTACATATACAAATGAGTACAAAATTATACAAATGAGTACTTTCAGAGTACAGGATTTGAAAAATGTACGGTTTGTGAAAAAAGAGTAAAAAAACTCAGTAAATGAGAATAGCAGGTCACCTTAATTGTCTACATAATTTTTTGGTAGATTTCAAAGTTCTTGCAAAAGATGGTTTTATCTATGAAAATATTGAGTTTAAAATCAATCTTGCTGTTTTCATATGTGATGCACCAGCTAGAGCATTTTTAAAGTGTATTAAAGGACACAATGGTTATAACTGATGTGAATGTTGTGCTTAGAAAGGAGAGTGGTGTGGCAAGATAATTCTCCTACATATTTCACTAATTTTAAGCACTGATTCAAATTTTTTGTCATTAAAAGCATTCTGAACATCTTAGTGGTGTGTTAAATTGAATTAAATTTTGACATGGTGACAAAGTTTCCTTTAGACATAATGTATCTAGTATGCTTAGGGGTAATGCGAAAATTTCTCAACTTATGGTTAAATTGTCTAAATGTTGTAAATTGTCTCAGATTACAGTCAATACTTTATCTGGCGGATTGTTCCAGATACGTCATTACATTCCAAGAAATTTTTATAGAAAATCAAGGTCTTAATTAGATATTAAAAAATGGAAAACAACTGAGCTTAGACTATTTATAGTAAACACTTGACCAGTTGTTTAAAGGGAATTGTTTAGCCAAAAATGTATTCAATTTTTTAGTTTTTTTAGTTGTAGTTCTAATTTCATGTTTCATTTTGTTGAAAAAATATGTTAATTTTGCTTTTCAGCTACTTATTTTTATATGTGAACTTTATCATAAGGATCAACTAGTGTACAATGTCCATTCATTAGCACATATAGGAAATAATACAGTTAAATTTTAGGTACTTGATAGATGTCCCTCTTTCAAATACAAAACTTTTTCAGGTCAATTAAAAAATGTTTGTCTAGGGGGCTCATTTGCAAATTTAGGGGCCCTTTTACAAATGTAAGGATTTTTTTTTTTAGGATTTTTATTTAGATTTTTATTTAGTTTTTAGGAATTTTGGGGCGCTTATGACAGGTTTTTTTTTCGAATGGGGGGCTTATATCTAGTAGCTATGGCACTGTATATAAGGTATATACAATATATATCAAATTATATACAATATAAATAAAAAAATATATTTATTTAATAATTTTATATAATTTATTTTTCAGTAACTAAAGGAATGTTATCAATTTATTATATGACTCATAAGCATGTGCTTATCTATTACAAATACCTTTGATGGTGAAAATTACATTTTTTATCTGAAGAGAGTTGGGAGAAATTGTAAGAGTTTTATAACATATTAAAATTAATGTATGTGTTACCAATAAAATTTAATACTAACAGTTAAACTTAATTTTTTACAGTTCATATTGAAACGAGATATTGTGTAAAGAGGTTTTCAAAGAAGTCGTTTTAACAACAATGGAAAAGCTTCCGATTCCCGAAATAAACGTGAAAGCATTTGATACATGATTAAAGAATCTTTCAAAAGTTTGCTTTATTTTGACTGTGTAATTTTAATTATTTTTTTTTTTTGAAATATACCAATCAATTTATATATAAATTTACTTTTTCTGTAAATTTTAAACATTTAAACGTAGTTTTGCAAGATTTGCAATGGGTAAACCTCGTGGGACCCTCACGGGATACCCGGCGGGCATACCCATACGGTCCCCTGAAGAAAACCGCGGCCATGATCCGGCGGGCTCCCGATGGGTTTCCCATATGGGTCCCTTACGGTTTTAAAGTACGGAATTGGACTGGGACCCATACGGGATACCCGGCGGGCTAACCCATATGGGTCCCATATGGAAACCGCGGTCATGATCCGGCGGGATACCGTTGGTCTTCCCATACGGGACCCAGTTGACGACCCGTATGGGCCCCGTACGGTACCCGTATGTCAATGTTGGCTGGGTATATATATATGAAAACAGGAGATACAGAGAGATACAGTTATAGACATATACAGATATACAACAACTATATTTCGCTTTACTCTTCTAATTTTGTTCATAAAAACACTTGATATATGATTGCATTTATGTTTATAGAAGCAATACAAAGAAATTTGCTGATAAAAGATACCACAGCGAAATTCAAAAGGCAGTTGTGGTATTTTTTCTGGAGCTCTAAACAGAAATAGGGGCAGATAAGAAGGAGCTGAAAAAAAGTCCATCCAAAAATCCAGTTCAACAAAAAATCGCGGCTATACTGCCCAATCATTGACATTAAAACCTTTATCTGGATTAACATTACCACGATTTGAACGCTTTATTTTTGATGATTCTGACAAAGTATGTTCTCAAAGACTTAATACAGCGGCTAACAAGTTACTATTGTCCCCTTGTCATGTGGGAAAACCATTAACTATATGAGATATTGCTGGCTAGGTGGGTAAAGTTTTTCCTCTTGCCTTTACACTAGGGATGGCACTTTTTTTTATTTTTATGTAAAAACGCAGTTTACTTTTAAGCGTAAATTACTAACATAACTCATATTAAAATATATTACTCACTTACATTTAAAAGTAATTATGTTTTTTATAACATAAATTATATTACAAGTAAAACTTATTTACATA